GATTGGTTTACACCTCTATTGTAGAAAAAAAGTTAAAATTGGAGATAGTTTTCAATAAATATTTCAATATTTTAAGGACCTCAGAATAAAAACAAATCATCTGATAAGTCTATATCAATTAACCTATGCCCCAAATTAGTTCAATCCACTCCTCAGGGAAGGACAAGAAGGACAAGAACTTTTTGCTTCTAACTTGTTCAGTGGAGACTGTCACATCTCATAAAATGTGTTTTTTTCCCCTGGAAATGACATTTTGATGTCATAAAGTCACTAGCACTTTCAAGGGTTATTTGTATAGACAATATCTAAGATTAACAAATCAAATACACGAGGAAGTGAATATTACCAAATCAAATGTCCTGCCTCTCCCTAGAGGTGCCCTGCTTGTCTGAACAAGGATGCACAATGCCAGCAATATTCCTCATATGAAAGTCTGTAGCTTTTGTCTTACATGCATTTCCACTTAAAACAGCATTCACCATTGACTTAAAAATTAAGAGTTTTCTTGGGAAGGCTAGTGTGTATTTCTGTGTAGTTATCCTGAAGCCTTCATGACCAGATCTTGGTCAGTATAGACAGCTGAGCAGCTTAAGACAACCACCACAGGTCAGTCACATTTACTGAGACTTCAGAGATCTTTTAATTCTTTTACAGGAGAACACGAGGTCAAAAACATAATACAATTCAGAGCTTGTTTCAGTCCTTCACCTTGCATTTTACTGAGATTTTCTTTTTGCACATCTCACCAGAGAGTTTTGCTACACATTTTTGACTTTATTCTCCTCAAATGACTTTAATAAAAGCTGAGCACAAATAAACTTTTATTGCAATAACTCCCTCTTCAAAGAGAGGAAGCAAAAGYGAAACACCTCTGCCTTCTTTGCCCATGACACTGCTCAGCTAGGTTTGTAGTGTTTATTTCTCTTGGAAACTAAGGGCCGATTGTCTTCAAAGCTGCTTCTTACTGTTTATTATGTGCATTCTGCTGACTTCATGTATAAGTAGTTTTAATGTTTTTGTAAACCTTGTTGTAGATAGGTTCCCACTATATTTTGGAAAACGTTTAACAAAAAATGTGTTGAGTTACTTATGGCTCAGGATTTAGAGAAATGTATTTTCAATAGTCTCAAAAACTAAATGAGCAGCAAACAATATATTTTCTGTGGATAATCTTTTAATGCATCTTGCACAAAGGTTCGATGGATTGCACTTTTTCGATGGATTAACAGGTCATCCCCCAGTAAATACCTCAGGGTTTCATAGCAGAATTACAGAAATAAGTAGAAAACACTTCAGCGAACTTAACTTGGTTAAATTTAAGTCCATGTACTTTTGTTCAATAATGAACTAATGAACAGAACTAAACTGCCAAGCCAAAAGATAACTAATAAATGGAATCTTGTGGAAATTTTTATATTCCTGTATTATTTCTAAGATACTTCAACTGCAGTGATATTCAAAATGACATTGTAAGAGAGTACTACAATCTGAAAGCACAAATGACTGTGGTGGGTGTAGATGCCCTTATTTCCTGTCCAACAAGTTGAAGGGGAATTTTGCATGCCATCACACCAAGCTGGCATCCTGATGGCACTGTGGAAGACAGTGCCTTACTAGTCACTTTTTAGAATGCATTCATCTCTTCTAAAAAGATGGACGTATTCTTTTTTTAATGGGGAATTTTGGACTTCTACAGTTTAACATTCAGAGGCATAGACAGAACTGCACCTTTCTACCTATATAATCATATGCCTATTTGGACAGTGATTTTTACACAGATCACAATGGTTCTTTTGTATCTAGGCATCCAATTAAGAACCTGCAAACTAGTCCTAGTTCCATGTCTTCCTGCTGGATTTTATCCAGTGGCTACATGAAGAGAGAAATTAACCTTTTTTAGTAAAATATTTGCAAGATTATGCACTCTTAAGATGCATGTGATGTATTTCCCTTCAGTGCGCTGTGCATTTCATTAGATACTTTCTTATAGTGTCTTCTTTTTCTCCAGTCATCCTCTACTACCTTCCACTTCCTTAATACAGGTTGTATTACATAGAGACAAGCACCAAGCAGYTAACATACACAGATAGGTACCACTATTTCATTGGATTTGTTCAAAGAAGCTCCCAAAGAAAGCTTTCAAAGAAGCTCTGCACTAAAACATGTGCTACCTCTGCTTTATTGGGCGACATTATGGCTCCGCACTGGCTGAAAAGTTTGCATCCATCAGCTGATGGTACCCGAAAGCATCGCCAGCTTGCAGGGTCTGCAGCAAGATTGCTACRACTGGGTGCTCTATCTCACAGAGCAATGAGCTGGCGGCTCATCAGCAATGAGCCACCAGCAATATTCTCGCACTTGCTTCCTTGTCGAGGGTGCTCAAGCCTATTACATCTGCAGTATCTGCTCTCTATTTCAGCGGTCTAAAATCAATGGAGAAAATTAAAAGCATGCTTTCACCTCACTTAAAAATGCATAACGAACTCAAAGAGGCTTTCCAATGGCTCAGAAAGAAAAGACAGCTCAGCTGGAGTCCTGAAGAGCAATTTCCATACAGAAGTACAAGATACAGACGCCAGTGAAGCTCAAAATCCAAGTCTGCATTCTTTAGTTCTCTGATTTTTTTTCATAGACTTCATTAGAAGCGCAATTGACAAAAAAGGACCACTGAGATGTGAAACACAAAACTCTTCCTAGAAATATTAAGCACAGATGCATGATAGAAGACATGACAAATGACTTTGTGGAATCGGAGAAAAAAGGGCATGCCAGTTCCCTATTCCAACTTCCTATTGACCTTGTGTATGTTCTTTTCCAACAAAAGGCAGTATGAGCAACAATTTTAAGTTAAACTAGCTGATCTGAGCACAAATCCTCACTAACTTCAAAAAGTATTTAAGGGTTCTATTAAACAGCCTCAAGAATATGCACTTTATGCACCTTCATCCCTCTCCACTCAACAAATACACGATGTGGAAAGATCTAAAAAGAGATCTAAAATCTACAAAAGTTGATAGCAAAAAAAAAAAAAAAAAAATTCTCAGCAGGAAAAAAGTGTCAGAATTAGCCCACGGTCTGGCAGCTGACTGCAACAACCTGCAGGGATTGTGAAATACACCTTGTAGAATGACTAAATACCCTGTAACTGCAGCCAACTAGCTAGTCATACCTTGGGTTGTACAGTAAATATTAACTGTGCAGCACAAAATAAACATTTTTACCTTTATGAGTATAAATTGTTGAAAGTTGTTAAGTCACTGTTCATGCACTCTCAACTGCACAATTTCTCAATTTGATGAAACTATCTGGGTTTACCTTCTTAATGAATTGACAGGCATTCCACACTTCTGCCTTACAGGACCGGTTGCAGAAGTTTCTAATAGATGCTAATTAATTTGACCTTCTTTGTGTTCTAGCTCTTTTTTTTCTAAAGGTCAGAACCTTTCCAGAAAGCTAGTTATATTATTAATTTGTTAGCAATGCTATTCATAAGTTATCTCTTTCACACAGCTATATAAGCTCGTTCTAAGAAACTAATAAACAGCTGGTAGTGAACTATATAATTGTGTTTTTTTTCAGCCATTGTACATGTGTTACTTTTAAAGCAGGAATGATTCTAATATTCACACATTAAAGAAAATCTTAGCATATACATCAACAAGATTTGCTGCCCAGATACTCTTCTTCAACCCTGATTACATCTGATTACATTTGGACATTAAGGAATGGCTAGTCTCCAGATCCTTAGAGAAATCAAATATGACAGCCATTTTCAAACACACTTGCAATCAACACTAGAAAGGCTCTACTAACTTGACCAAATAGCTCCTATTTCAATAGAGAAATATCTAGAACATGCCAAAGGACTAAAATTTCATTCAGGTTTATTAACAGAAATTYAGATAACTTTTGCTGTTTCCCTAATGAGCAATGCTTTTCAGAGCTACTACCTGCTTGTTTGAGAACCTGTAGTATTTCTACACAGGAACATTTCTCTGGCAAAGAGAAATACTCTCCACCAACGCCATGAGAGGAGAAACAACTCGGCTTTGGTGCTTTGCCCTCCCAAGAAGCATGAAGGAGTAGYTGTGTTGACCTTCTTCAAGGTTTATCATATTCCCCTCTTTTAATACTGTGTTACTGTCCCTCTAAGAGAAAACCCCCAAAATACCAGGAGAAAGCACAGAAATCCCAAGTTCGACCTGGTAGTAAAAACAAAGCAAATGAAATCCTAACAGATTTTGCTTCATCTCTTAAGACTGCATTTGCAAATGMAGCCTTCCTTGCTAACTCCCACATCCACGCAAAACTGAGAGATCCAAACATGATTCAGCTGAACAGAACACAGAACCTACACTCTCAATACTTCTCCTTTCCTGTCTGTGTGATACAGAAAARCTATGTAGAATAAATACCCATGTGTTACTGAGCTCTCATTGCACTCCAGATTGTGCAACATGATTATTCACTCTAGAAATGCAGAGCAATGCAAAGTAAATAGGAGCACATACTTGAACCAGTAGCCTTTTCATATGTAAAGCATCCTAAGAGAGCTTTTCTTTTTATCAGATTCCCTAAAATATGCTTCCAAAACACTGTGAAATAGCAACTTTGGAGTTCTTCCTTCCTTATAAAAGCTTACTCCTTTGTAAATAAATTCTAAATATTCAAGATCTACTCCTAAGCATTCAAAGCCTTGGTACTTTAAGAACTTCTGTGTTTTTGTTATTTTTATTATTGTTATTAAAATAAGTAAGGATGTAAATAAAGMAAGTAGCCACCTCAAGGCATCAATAGTTGCAGAAGCCAAAGGTTGCCATGATGATAAAAGAAAAAACACCATTTCAGCTGGACTTCTTTATAGAAACACAAAGCCCCCAGGAGATACAGATTTAAATATACTTGAGAGAAAGAATATGATGCTACTATCCTAATTTCAAAGTAAAGCCATCAATAAAAAGGAAAAATAGATAGGGWAAATTCCAAGAAAAACACAGTGAGCTCTACATTTACAGTATTCTTATTTACCCTCCAACATCACCATGTAAAAATTTATTTTACTTTAGCTACAAACCTTTGCTGAGTTCCACATTTCAGTACATTATCTATCTCTAATTAATATATCTATACTAATGATGTATATAATTTTATTTTCTCGGGTCCCACCTCTCCTACAGAGTTTTCAGTTCCTAGTTCAAGAGCCAGAGCTACGAATGAGCAGACAGACCTCCACTTTGCTAAGGATGACCAAAACTTCACCATGTTCTTCGTTAAACCTCCCACGTGAAGCTCCTATATCACTTCACCTAAAGTCTATGGAAAAGAGAACAGTGATAAGAGATTATAAAACAGAAACACAACAGTGGAGAAACTGAATTAAACATTTTTCTTCTCCTAGGCACAACCTTATTGGCTTATTATTTTGCACTCAACAGTTTACAAATTGACCCCCTGAAGTACTAGATAATAAGGAATTAACTAGGTGTCTGCCACCAATTACTGCAAGCTGGGAACAGCAGCTMGTCAGCAAAATCTGTGCGTTTTTTGAAAAGACAAAGCAAAATTGCTATAGTCTTGGGCCTTCATGACATTAACTTCACCAATTCAGCTATCTAAGGCCCTTCATCAAGGTTTTATACATATATATTTTTATATATACATAATTTATATATATACACACACCTCTAAATAAATTTTTTTAATATAACTTACAGGTGTGTGTGTGTGTGTGTKTRTATATATATATATAAAAGCACCATCTCCTACTGGATTTACAGAAGTTTGTCTGCAACGCTGTTTGTCTGCAAGTCTACAGCAGGCTTTTGTGCAGTTATTTAGCATGCTTACTGATGGCCTGCACCATGTGTATGCATCAATATCGGGCAAGCTTGCCACAAGCAGACAATTAAAAACACAGCAAACCTGCAGGATCAGCTTACTGTCATCTTAACATTTCAGAGAAATCTGGGTTTGTGCCTGGTCAGCGCTTTGCTAATTAACTGTGTTCTGACTATTCTGCAAAAATGATATTTTAGTTTGTAAAGTATCAGATGAATATTATAGTGAAACGAACTTACACTGCAAAAATTGTGAAGACACTGTCAGTCTTATTGGTATCTTACCCTTAAAATGCTCAAAAAGGGCAAAAAATGTTGATTATATCAAAAYTATACACATTCTCACTATGGAGCATATTGTACATGTACTAGAGTTTGCATGTATTTAAATGCCTAGTGTAGTCTTGTATCAAGAGTATTAAGATACAGGGCCTAGTAATGCAAATATCTTTAATGAATATCAAAGGATGGAAACATGACCTACTCAACTTTCTGAAAGTTTATGAAAAAAAATCTAGTTTATTTACTTAGAAGAAACTTTGTGCTTACAGCTCTATTGAATTTAAAAGCTACAAGCAGGATTCACTGCAACAGTGCTTGAAGTGGTGCCTTCAGGATAGTTCTTACCCTGTATCTTGGGGTCCTTATTACARTTTGTTGCCTCAGAAGAGAGTCCAATCAATAAGGTGTGGCTATATTCCTCACAACTGATAGAATGACTTTGTAAAGAGAATGTAACTGTAAAATAATTATTTGTCACACAGAGACTGACTACTGGATTAGTCTATTCAGGTTCTGTGCTGGAAGTTTTTGGATGGAAAAGGTGAAAAGAAAATTTCCCACGTTTTAGAGACAGCCAAAACAATCCTCTTTGTGGCAAGTACATTCAAGTGCCTTCACTGAAAGCAAAAACAAGCCCCCTGACACAAGACAGGTTCTGGAAGCTGAAAGGTAAATTGTGCTTGCTGTGTTTTTCTGAGTTGAATCTTGCCTGTATGATCAGCAGCATTCAGGCTCCCGGCAGGGAAGTTTCCAAAAGAAAGTGAAAAGCAGGCAGGTGGCTTTAAAGAAAGCACAGAGAAATGTAGTAAATAAAAAATTCAGGTTGAGAGTGATTGGAATTGGTTAAATAGACTAAAGCAGGTCTGTGCAGGACAAGAGTTTACATAGTGGTTTTTTTTTTTTTTTTTTTTTGGTGGGGGAGAGAGAAAAGCATCACACACATGGTCAGAATTTCTTAAGGAGAGTTTCAGGTGCTTTGGTTACTGTTTTCACGAAGTTAATTATTTTCTCTGCAAAGCAGATTGGCTACTGGCTAGGTAACCCTTGTTTCTTGGAAACTTTGGGGCCTTGAATGAGAAATTTTGTATAGTACAAGAAGACCTGCAGGAAAGCAGAACTTCCATTCTGCTCTTTTCCTTGAATGCTCATGCCAAGATTTCCAGAGTGGGAGACCAGTGTTYGTGAGGTGCCACAAATGCCAAGAGACAAGATAGGAACTGTAGATCCCTGCTCTCCCTGTGCATGATCAGCCAAGGAGCAACACTACTGCAGGAAACAGGGGAAAAAAAAAACACTGCACGAGGCAGTAAATTCAGCAACTTCTTGTTCTGAAAGCACAGAGGACTCTGAAACAGTCCTTGCTGGGATGATCTAACTGTGAAGTGCCTCCATCACAAACCTCATCAAACAGAAAAAAGTCACTCCTGCTACATTACGAGTCAGCAGGAGCTTCAAAAATATTSCAGATTGGATTAATCATGGATTTTTAAAAGGCAGTTTATAATTTGAGGGTGGGAGGAGTAAGCAGAGTTCCAAGATAGCTACAAAACAAAAAAGAACAGCTGCTCTTTACAATTACCCAAAAAAAAAAAAAAACAGGAAGCACAGCTGTTTGTCTATGAATTAAACGGAGCATTCGCTCTGACACTCATCTCAGATTGCTAGTCCAGGCTTTAACACCACGTCCTCATCTAAGAGTATTTGTTCTTATCCAAGCAGATGAAACTAAGGAGTCCAAATTGTTAAGGCAGYTTGGGAAGTTTCAAACCTTTGGACGGGCCAAGTGGTCCCTCCTCAGCAGGACAATGTGGCCTCTCTAACAATTACTAGAAGGTACTCAAAGCTAAAGAGACTTCAAGAATTAACCATTGCTGAGATGGTGGTAATTGAATAGGAACTGAGAGGATGAAGCTCATTCACATATAACATTAAGTTGGACTTATTCTAATATCCAGATATTATTCTAATATCCAAATATTATACATTTTAATATCCAGATATTATTTATTGGATGCTACTCCATTAGTGCTATTGAACAATAAAATAAACAATTAAAAATACTTCTGTTGTTCTTAGGACTTTCCGCAATACTGAGAATTAACTATAACCTCTTACACACTGCTCTGCTTTGAAAAAGGAAGAAATCAAGGGTAAAATCTTAAGAATGAACCACAACTTGGCTTGAATGCAAAGATGACATATTTTATAGGAAACATGCTTACTTTAAAAATCAGTTCCTCTGAGGCAAGATAATAGGTTTCTAATGACTTAATTAATTTTACACTAAGTGTCTTCTGCAAATGTACAAAGTTAGACAGCTAATTGCTGTCTCTCTGCTTTGGTAAGAAATGGTTGTCTCCAAACAGATCCCTAAAAACCAACGTACAGTAATTCATGCCGACACTTTATTCTAATTACAGCTAAACATAATGGTTCAGCTGAGAAACCAAATTYTGCTGCAAATAGTATTTTAGTAGACACAAAGTAAAATAAAATGAAAGCAAATTATAAATCCAAAATGCTTTAACTAAAACCTTGCTTTTTCTAAGCACATAATGCTACCAAARGATACATAACAGCAGATAGCAACTTTTGGTCTTGAATCAGAAAATTAAAAGAGGTGCTTAAATTGTTTTTAAAACTAACTGATATATTCATATTAACACAGTTGATATAACATTGATCCTTGCTTTCTTTTGCCCTTGCTGAATGAAGACAGGAAAAAGTTATCATCTAATGAGTAAAACYGGGGTATATATTTTATTATGTCTTTGAATTCTGATCTGCCAAGACAGCTTCAGAAAGTAGGTTAATTATTGGTTCAAAGAAAAGACAGACCTGTCTTYATCCAGAACAACATGATCATAAGGTTCTCTTACTAAAGTTTTCATCACATTAGCGTTGTGCCCTATCAACACTCAAAGCTGCACGCAGCACAGGCAAGAGGCACAGCAACAGAGAGGGTTCTGTTGTAAGCTGTAACCTAATGCAGAAGTTCACAGGCAGGTGATGAGAACAGAACTGCTTCAGTAATTATAGTTTTAGGACAAAAAGTAGAGCTAAGTGCAGAATAGTTTTTATAAATCTGAGGTTGCTTTACAGCCTTTCTACTATAGAATTAGGGTTGGAAAACACAACAATCAAAGTGTAAATTGTATATCTATAGTAAAGACATGAGGCACATTGAACAATAAAAAAACAGGTTACATGTTAAAAGCTTTTACAGAAATGAATAATTTCCTTTAGGATCATCCTTACATATAAGCAGAGTTACGCAGGATTCTCTTTGTGCGCTTGTAGGTGATTCAACAATGGACATCTGTATTTGAGATTTTTCAGGGTTTGCAGGATTCAAAATGCAAAGACTTTAAACTCAGCATAGAAATCTAAAGAGCTATAAATATTTATGGTAGGATATTTTTAATGGAAGAGTTTTTGTTTGTGAGGCACCACTCACCTCCTGATGTGTTCAGTCTCAAAGTGGACAACTATATGTGCAAAATAATTGCACATAAACTAGCAGTATCCTCCAAACATAAACTCTGATAATCTGAGTTTGCAAGCCTGGGAATGTCCTTTGTCAGTGCACCCCTGTACTTATCAGGTATATGAATCAGGCATATCGGTAAACAGAATTTTTGTCAAAGAGTATATGCAAGCAATAAAAATGTATCTTTTCTGGATATCACATTAAGAAATAGAGTGGAGCATGGAGGTTCTTGACTTCACCTACCACGTTAAGACCGACTGGAGGAGTCRATGCAGATGCGGGGAGATGCCTCTGGCCGGTGCAGCTATGAGGAGACTTCCAACAAAAGGGCCTATACAGGTGTAACCTCTCTAGGAATGCCAAGAGGGAAAGGGATCAGGGAAATGATAGGACAATGTCGTCTAAAATCTGTACTTCGTCAACTGTCATCAAAAAATGCGGAAAATGCAGGACATTTAGCATGCATTAGCATCCAAAGCAATGTCAGTAGTTAGGAACATCACCAGTGTAGATTTTTTCAATAAAATCCACATATGTTTTTACCAATGAACAAAAGCACAARTTCTCTACCTTATTAGAGTTCCTCCTTTTTCACATTTGCTTCCTGCAAAAAGATTACTCATTATAAGAAGGCATAAAAATTGTGTAGGATAATATGAATGAGGCATGTAGTTAATCCACCAAGATTCCATTAAGAACTGAGCCTACATACAGCCAACTAATTACCCATTCATTAAAACAGAACCATAAATGACATTTCCAACACATTACAAAACTTCTCTCTAGTAATATTTCCCCATCTACATCTCTTCTGACATTTATATTCTCTGTCTTTTTCATAATTATTTCAAATAATTCCTCTGACATATCGAGAAGAAAATAGCTTAAAAAGAGATTACTTACCACCCACCAGTTGCTCACAAAGAAAGGAACAAGACAGAGTAATTATGTTGCTGTATTAACATAGAACTGACATGCTTGTAGTCTCTAATAGTAACTACCGTGGTCCCACTTTTCCATGGTGAGAAATTTCCAATTGTTTCTGTTCAAAATTATTTGCTTACATACATATCCCCAGGATCCATCCTCACCAAAATGAGCACACATCGAAACCTACTCAACTGACTCACAGAAAGCAACATAGCACCCCATGGTGGCATAAAAATATCCCCCATCCGAAGCCTGGGACTTTCATACCCGCCTTGGTTCTGCCATTGGTACTGCAGCAGCTGCCAGTGGATAACCTGGCRAGTACAGAGAGGGTTGCACAAGGCTGCACAGACATCTCTTTTGCTGAAGCAGAACCATGGCTTTGCCCAGGAGAGAACCTGGGCACTTGGTTCTCTCACTACAAGTTGGTGTTTGTTGTGTGTCCGTCCAGGCTTCTCGACAGCTCTTTAAATACGTAACAAGCCAAAGCCACGATAGCCGCCAGTATGGGCTTTTCCCACCAGTACAAAGTTGAGCAGCACATAACAAGTGGTTTCTTTGGGCAAATTGTCTTTCTATTTTTTACTTTGTACCACACCACCACATTTCATTAATTTCTGGTTTTTTTTTTTTTTTTTTTTTTTTTTAAATCTTATAGGCATTGCACGAAGAATGCAGAGTAGGCTACATGGAGTTATTTACTTAAAAATAATCAATAGTCAAATGCAAAAGCTTCCAGGGTACATGCCAAGTGCAAGCACGTGTGAGTTGAAATAAATACAGTTACTGTTCATGCCTAAAACTTATTTTTAAGAAAACTTATTAAAATAAAATTAAGAAATCTAGGTTCAAGAGTTCTTAGTTTTCAATAAGAAAGAAGAGACAAATATACAAATATAAAATATGCTTGCTTGTCTAGTTTGCATACCACATTAAACAAGATGTTAAAATACCTCTAACTGAGAATAATAAATTGGTGGTAGGGGAGAACCTGTAATGTTTCCTGATTTTCTAACTCTCTGAAGAGTAAAACAAAACAAAAAGCCCAACCAACCAGAGACTGCCCCATTCCCATACTCACCTCCATGGATGGATGGAGATTCTGCACTGTCAAGCACATTCCGGCCTAAATGTGCCAGAACTTGCACATTTGGCCTAAAATTAGCACAGATCTGAGTGAGCCTATGAGATTCAACATAGTTCCTGAAAAGGTGTTTTCTCTTCAGAAACATCCAACACATACATGATCAGAAATAGGTCAGATAATTTAACAGGAGGAAAAAAATACAATCAACTTTCTCAAAAGAATTCATTAAGAAACTGTAGTGATTTAAGCAATGTCTCATAAACACTTATAATGCAGTTAACATCATAAATATAGAAAACATATTTTCATCCTGAGCAGACTTTTACATTGGCTTATGTATATTTATAGGTCAACAAATTATAGTCACTACATACTTGAATTTATGGAAGTTTTTCCTGTGTAGATGGAGTGATGGTATGGGCTATGATCAACACTTAGTGGGAAATTCTTACTGAGTAAGGATTTCATAAGGAAATTTAGATTTTTATGTAATTGCATGAGATTCCATCATAGTAACTCAATGAAAAAAAAACACTTTTCACATTATAACTACATATTTTAAAAAAAACATCCACTGCCTCTACTTTAAAATAGTCTCACTTAGGAAAGGTTTGCTTTGGAAGAAAATTGGTAGTAGAGAAAACATGTTTACTATATACATATGAAGATGTATTGTTAAAAAACAGAAAGTGAACAACTTGCAACAAATTTTAGAGTAGATGCACTAGCTACTCCTATTAAATAGCAATACTTTTAAGAGTCTTCAAAGCAACAGTCCGCAGGCAGTGGGAATGCAGCACTAAGATAAAATACCTATCAGTGGCACTTCATTTTGCAGCAAAAATAATTGATGAGGAACTGGGCAGAGTGGATAAGTTACAGGGTGCGTGCAGTGATTTCTGCCCTGGCGAAAGCAGATATTGGAAATGTAGTATAAATATTGACACTGATACAATAGTAAGTCATATTCATCATATTTCGTTGATGGATAAGAGATAAAAAACTGTTATACAAAATAAGTCTCTATTGCCTTAAAAAATGCATCTCTTTCTACAAGCACACATCAAAAGTTAATCAAGCAATAACTACACAGGATAGTGACAGTTGTCTGGGCATCACACTWGCGGCCCCTTCATTTTTGCTTAAAATAACCAAAGTAGGTCTGGATTCAACAGTAATTTTGGATTTTTGAATTTTAATATCCCTAAGCCCTGGTGAGAAATAATATTCTTAACTTTGGGGAGCTTATCTAATTACATTGTTTATCCACAATGCAACTAGTCTGAAAAGCAGGACCAATACAGCCAGATGAGGATTTAACAACTTCCGTATTTCTTGTGCTATTCGTCTTTCGGTATCTCTTTTCCCCAGTGTCCGCCTATGAGTGCACTCTGAGATCAGAGAGCCCAGAACACAACAGGCCATCTACCTCTCCTCTCAGCAGGGGCTTGCGCACACGCTCCGGTACTTTGTGAAGGAAAGAGTGTTCTAATTAGATGCTTAAATGATTCCTGGCCTACCGATGGCTGTACAATTAATTAGTCAAGATGCAGTTACGAATTTAGGATCTATGGTTTCCGTGCTGGATCTTGCCAAAAACCATTTCATCAACTTGGTTGGGCACTTGGGGTATCGCTCTGTTAGACTTGCTGTTGAGACCAACGATGGTTAATGGGAAGTCATAGCAAATGAAATGTCATCGCAAAGAAATGTTCATATATAAGAAATAATCATATGAGTGACTATTTGCACCCTTAAGTCCCTGTAAAATCAGGATCTTCATGTAACAAATATTTAAAAAGTAATTTTCAAAATTAGTGATACTGAAGCAACAAACATGCCATAAAACTGCCCGCTCAATAATTGGTTCACAATTTGCATTCCATCCAGAGACTACCATTGAGAGCAGCACAAATTACAGGCAGGCAAAGAGATTCTCTAAAGTTTAATTTACAAATGACTTTTTTTTAATGGAAAAGTTGCTTTTTCCCCTCATGCTGGGAGCACTTTCTTTTTACACAAATGACAGTAGAATTCAAAAAAAAAAAAACAAACCACAACTGCTTTGCATACAGCACTATCAAAATGTACTGGGCCTTCTACTCCTGCTGTTACAATATTACTACCCCTGTTTCATATAAAAATTGCTTGAAGATTTTTCCACTTAAATAAGATGCTTGAGATATCTGGAATGATTAAAACTCAGGAAAATCAGAGAGACTCTTATATATCTACTGTGTTTTTAATTAAAAGTTCATGGGATTTTTTTTCTTCCTGTGAGGACAAAAAGAATTTACAAATATTCAAAAGCCTTCCATTGCTATATAGAGCAATGTATAATAACAGGTTGGAAAGAGGACAAAATAAAGGATAGACAGAGGACAAAAAAGGGTGCACAGCAGTTAGATATTGTTCATATTTATTCAGCTTGAAACTGAAATATAACTGAAACAAAGGAGAAGCCCCAAATCCTCTACTGTTATTTGAGAGAACACATCTGTCTAATGAATCTGATGAACTCTACCTGTTACAGTCACGGAGAACAAAATCATCYCCTTCAACTTCAGCACTAGTAAAATTAACCCTGCATGAAAACAGACTGCCAGATGCACCTTCCTTCTTTTTTTGCTTTCTTCTTTTTGTTGAGTTTAGAGCAGGATTTGAATTTTCTGCCACAGGACAAGTAGAACCTTTAAAGCCACATGTCCTTCACGCAGGACAGCCCAGGGATGCACACGCCAGCTGGCAGACTGGAAGGGCCCCTGCTCAGTGAAAGGCAGGAGGAGGCRAGCGCAGCTCCCTCAGGGTGGGAATAGGGGAAGCCGCTTTTGTGGGGGACATGAAGGGTGGGCTCTGCGGGGTGAGGGCGGCCATCCTGCCTTTGCTGGACTTGCATCCTCTTTTTGTCTGCTCAGATACACTTAAATTTTAACCCTGAATGGCTGCAGAGTTTGTTGTGGTGGTTGACAAGAGATAAAACTGGCCTGTAAACATTATTTTATGATAGGTTTGACATAAAAATATATTTCTCAGGGTTTACTTCCTCGAAGCTAATTATTTCTTTTTGCTTCATTCCCTTTGAAATTCTAAGCACTGCTTYGAAGACAGATAATAAACATATATGTAATGACATTGGTGGATAAAGACTGCAAAGGACATTTTTGAATGCTTAGTTGGTTACTACCTATGCTTTCTGAGGTATAGTAGTGCACAGAAGGTAGTGCAGAAAGAATAGGAATAATGAGCACATTTTTATCTAGTACTCTATTTCTAAAGCTAAAAACACTACATGTGGATGCTACCTGTAACATTTTACTACAAAATCTTTTATCTGTATGTTGACAGGCATTGTGTTGTCACCTGCATGCCTAAATGAGATCAATTAAAAAAAATTATTCACAAATTATCAAGAAAGCTATAAATGTGACAAGATATCTTATTGAAGAAACTTAAGAACAAGAACCTTAAGATATTAAGTTTCAGTACTGAAAATGCTGGTGAGTAGCTGATCCTATGCTGTACATTATCTCATTCATTTCAGTGGCTGTGCACAAACAACTAAGCAAGCTTCCCAAAGAAAAAGCAGGGATAAAATCCTGTTTCTACAGATGGCCATCGCAGTGTGTCCTGGTTAATCTGTACTTCAAAGGCAAAGTAGGTGCCATTTATGTTGTATCTGCACCACTCGCTGTACTGAATTCCAGTGCTTGGTTTGCTACCTGAGAGGGATCAGAAGCTGCGATGAGGGTATTGGAAATACAGCATTGTGAGCCACAAAACCTGGATTGCTGGGGAGAGGCCTCAGTGAGGCAGCAGTGTGCCCACTGTGACCGGCACACAGAGGGGCAATTGTGAAACACGGGGCTCCACTGGCCCTATCAGCACCTGAGGACTCCCCACAAGGCTGCAAGGGCAGCTTGTTAGCAACCCCCTGAACCCAGCACAGCCAAGGACCCGGCCCCTAGGCACCCAGCCTGGAGCTTTCTTGTCCAGAGAATATCTGCAATTTGGGCAAGAACCCTATCTCATTGCAAAACCCAAATCCTCTGAAACGTAGAAATTCTTTCTCTCCACACCATTACGTTATGCCTGGTTCCAGTTTCTGAGATTAGACAATACTGTGTTTGAAAATATGGTTCCCAGATAGAATAAGTACATGAAGCTGAACAAAGCTACACCTGCCAAGCAGTCACCCCTGTGCTAACGAGGAGACTAGATGTAGGGATACAAAGTGGCCTATTCTGTTATTTCACACTGGGGCAAACTGTCCCAAACAAGAAAAGTTCTTTTAGGGGAAAAATAAAATTAACAGAGCACCTTGAGTAAGGACATCACACAACACGAAAATGAAATTATKAAAAATGGAAACCATCATGTTGAAACAGAGGAAATGTTTTAACTTTACATGGGACACAAATATATAATTTAAAGATCTGGAAGGTAAATAAAGCAAACATCCTTATAGCAGGTAGCAAAACAGGCATTAACATAGTGACTGTATATATTCTCACCTTGTTTTCAGAGAACTTGGTAGTACATAAATATATTGAGCTAAAAGTGAACTACCCATACATGGATGTATAAGCAAGCTTGTTGTGTATATCATAAAAGTCTGATATGCACTGCATATCAGTGCATATCTTTCCAGTGTGCAGCCTGGAAGGAATTTTCACAGCCACGTAGCAAACCCTAATGACAAGGATTTCTAATGGTCAGACTTAAGTACTCTGCTGGTGCTAGGTATTCCAATGGTCCCCATGACTTTGATGGCACTGGTTCCACCAAACAGTCCACTTGGCATAAACTSCAACTCAAAATTAGGCATTATCTGGATACCTTTAAATCTCAGTTTGAATGGAGAGCTCATTTTCTTTCAAACTACCTTTGAGAGGATTGTGAACAAGCAATTAAAATGGTTCTTTCAACCATTAGTTGATATTTCCATTCCCAACAGCTCTAACTAGGTTAGAATTGTTCTCTTTAGATGAGATGCACATATTTAAAGCAAACAATTGCAAGTTATTAAAGGATAATTAAAAAAAGAAATCCCAAGTGCTTTTCATTTCATTCACACAAAGATAACTTCTCTAGATCTTTAAGTTTAAAATGACTACTTTTCTGCAGTTGTAAAACAAACTACCAAAGCTTCTTTGCTTTTAAGTAAATGAAGGCAGAAAACCTAATACAATTTCCTCAGTATTCACACCTTCCAATGACCAGCTCAGAATAAAAATACTGCAATTCCACAGTGTCATTAATTCAAGGAAAGGACTAATTCARAAATCATTCTATGAAAATGTTATTAATAACTTGTTGCTTATTCCACATAGAGCTTCATTTGTCTAATCTTGCACAGGTCACCAGAATTAGTAATAAATCAAAGGCAGCTCAGAAGCAGCATTCTGCCATACCACGGAGACAAAAAATAAAAGAGAAACACAATGTTGCAGAATGTGAGGTTTCCACAGATGGTGAATCATGTTCTTTCCTCATCAGTAACATAGCTAGACTCTGATCAGGGACAGAAATGGGGGTAAATTCAGTCTTTCTTAACTTGCTGTTGTGTCACACACATAGAATGGTCACAGAGCTGCCAATYGATGAAGACACTCACCAAAAGAACTTCCCAAGATGTAAGTTTATGAAAAACATGATACCAGTCCAAATGCTCAGTTGGCATAATTTAGAATGATGCTTTGGATCTGCATTTTTATTTATTGAAACCTAATTCAATATATGAAGCACACAAGCAGAAGATATTCCTGCCTATTTTTTTCCATTAACTCCTGTTGATTAACTGAACTATGTTGGTTTGGTCATCAGTAGAAAGTACAAAGCTTAACAACAGTATGAGGGTTATATACAACAGTATGAGGTTACTCCTTAACTCCAAATGAGGAATGAAAAATATCACAACCTAATCCCCCTCTAAATTTTCCAGGGATTAGAAAAATTAGTCTTTTTTTTTTYCCTTCATTTAAATGGTTAAAACAGTAAAGAGAACAGGAATCCAGCACTGACTAAACAAATAGAATTATTTCAGGGAAGCAAGTCTGATGACTGCAGGATTAATTGTATTTGCATAGTAATGTTCAAGCACTGGAAACTGCAAAAGGAAAAATTCTGAATATCAATTATCATAATTATGATTACAGACTACTGAGAGAAAGAACATGATCAGTCTTTTTTTTCCCTTTTGATTCCTCCAGTATGTTTTTTTCTATGCACAGTAGTGGGATGAGATGAGAGCTCCAGTTGCTATAACAACTTAACTCTTTATTATAACTAACAATCATCTAAATGTAATTGCCTTTCTGCCCTTATAAACTGATACATTAAATAGCAATTGTGTGGATCCTATAAATCTTGTTACTAAAAGCTATGCAAAAATCTCAACATAAGCTGAAGTATACTTACACATCAGAATTAGTCTGAAGTTGTCCTTCACTTCCTTGCTAGGACCATGTTCAATTCAAAATGCTTTAGTTTATCCATGCGCACATTTGTCATGAAAGAGCTCTTCTGAGGAAATCCAAAACTAAATACGAAACAGAATTAAAATAACATATTAAACAGCAGGTTAAAATAATACTCTTTAAAATATTTTTCTGATTGTATAAGTGTCTCCACTTTGTAGAAAAGAAATCTTAGTTAGGTCAGCAACAACAGTTAAACTGGTCATAAAATTAAGGAGAATGCTCGAGTGGAGAATGATTAGAAGATGCAAAGCACTTCAAAAATCTAGTGATACGGAGAGATTAATTTTATTACCAAAATTATTACAAACTATATCATGAACTATAAAAATTTATACTCCTTGCCTCAATAATGTTTTCTTTCTGTAATCAACAAAATCATATTTGAAAAATGGGAAAGATGATTCTTCTAAAACACCCTAATTCACGTCCTGTGGGCTCAGAATAAGATTGCCATTTACTGCTGAATTACAATGTTGATGTGTTCTCACCAGTGTTCTATGTGTCACCAAAAACAAACGGTCAGAGATAAAAAATGAACTCTCTCATCAGGATCAAATATTTCAAGGATAAATAGAAAATAAAAAGGCCYGTTATATATGGTAAAGAAAGTAACAATGCAGTATCAACTCAGAAAACTGATGCTTTCTCAAAAAAACATGGACCCAAAATGCATTCAAGGTAATGTACATTCCTAGTCAGCTGCTCTYGCCTCATGCCAAGCATCTTTTGACAATTTTGGGATCTCGCAAATACTGCAACAAGAGCTCAGAGAAACACTCAGAACAGCACGGGACACCCTGATCCGCAGCCAGGCATTACCTCACGTTTGGTTAGAACTAGAAAACTAGTTACATGCAATTCTGGAAGCTAAGGCAACAAATGAGCTGGCCACAACCAGTTACAAACAGACAGGCATTACAAATGGTTCTGCCACAGCCAAAAGTTTCAGCAAATTATTAACTTCAAAGATTTTAAAGATATAGAAATTKCATAAAAAAAATCAAAGCTGGAATTACACAGTTTTCACATTACAGTTGCAGGCACKGACAAGGCTGAACACTAAAGGGGCAGTGAGCTGCATGCAGAGCARTTTGCCTCTTCCTTGCAGCTTTGCTGAGGCTTTCCCCGTGGCAGAGCTGCACAAGGCCAYGTGCAGCACCTGCCTCCTCCTGTCCAGCCCCCTGCAATGGTCATGRTGCCACGGGCCTCCTCATGCACCACTGTAAGCACCAAGGCCAAAGGGGTGAGCCTGGTGAAACAGCAACCTCTGCTAGCTGCAATTGAACTATAACTTCAACAGTACTAGGAAAAAAAGAAAAAAAAGTCACATATATCTGGAATAAAATAATAATATTGAATGCGAGTCATATTGCTTCCTGCTTGATGATGCCTGCTTTAGATTTAACCCACTAATACACTGTACGTTGTTTGTCCATCTGTTATTTACTGCTGATTAAGACATACATTATACATAAACATAGCAAATCTTAAAATAGTAGCTCAGTATAAAGTCGGTAAAGATTAAAAAATCCTCCAATTGTATCACATTGTAGAATAATAAACGCTCTCCTGTTATTTTATGTGCTTTTAAGCTTTTTATCTATTTCATTTTTCTGTTTCATTTAATGCTCAGATTATAATGAAGATTTATATATTAAAAATCAAAGACATCAGAACTAAGCCAAGATGTCAGTGCATTCTAAAAATGATTGTGCTGATTTTTGACAATTGCTTAGTAGTTTTATCCTAAATCAATAATTCTAAAGCATATTCATAAAATAAGAACAACTGATAGTCTTCGATAAGCCCCAGTGTTGCCAATGTGCTACACACTGAAGAAAGAGAATAAGCTTTGACTTCTGTTCCAAAAGCAGCATTTCATAGCATAGTAAGAAAGGCTTGCTTTTGATCTTGGTTTATTAGATCCAGATCAGAGAATAGAGTGAACTATTTATCTTTAAAAAGTAATATCTTTTTGATTACATGTCATAGCGAAAATCTTATCTTTGTCTTAGAAGTCAGAGACTAATGACGACAACATTAGGAGTCTTGTGAACCCTGACAGCAGTTCAGCCTATTATGTGATGAACAATGAGGATGGAATCTTCTTCCCCGCTTGGTAACATTTCTAGAGACCACAGTTCTGGAAATCTAAATGCAGTCATTGCTTTCCACTTCTGTGGGCAGAGATGCAATTCTGCAGATATGCACTCTAACTGGATTTTCTAATAAATACATTCATTTCTCAGTCTTTTTAATAAGATTGCCAGAAAGGACAGTTGTCATCTCTAGCATATTTCTCCTCCAAAAGAACAAAAACATCTGTGCTATTATTCAAGTCTAACATCACATTTCAGTCATTACAATTTYGCAAACCAACTAATATTGCAAATAAAAAAATAGAAAAACAAAAATCTCTAATTCCTGCCACCTCCACAGTACTATTTGTTAAATCATACGTTTTTTGAAGCAACTCCTCACCTCAAAAATGCAGTTAAGCTGAGGSCAGTAACTGCCACTCACTCTGCAGACAATCTTGAATTTGATCTAGGATGGTGAGGAAATTATGAAATACCACCACATATATTATTTCAGAAATACACACATTTTCTGTTGAATGAGTGAAATGAATTTTTGAGCAGGTCMTATATGTATTAGTGCAAAAAAAAATACACATAGTGATTTAGCAAATTCTTTTCAGGTAGTAAAAAAGCTTTTAACAACATGAAGACTATGAGGAGAAGAAAACAGTAGGAGAATAAATAGATTTTCTATCAATTTAAGGGAAATCTCTTCCTGATTACCAATCTTATATCACTGCAATACCAAAGATTAACAATATGAAATTGGTATTATACTTTATTGAACAAAAAAATACCCACACACAGCTAGTGAGAAATCTAATTTGATTAGATCTATGTGAAATACACATACAGGTTTTTATCTGATGAAGAAAATGATAGGTTTGACCCCTCACAGAACTTAGATTAAGGAGTAACCAGTAAATTACAAAGAGGTTCTTGCTGCAAGGGAGTCTGCATAAGAACTATAAAGAAAGTATGAAAATCTGTCACAGGCTAGGCCTTTGGTTAGGTATTTCCAGAAGACCAAATCCTGCTCTGGCATTTCCAGAAGCTGCCTTGTCAGCAGCTTTGGGGACATGTTAGCCTTGTGAGTCACAGTACTTAACAAACGTTCTGGCAAATATCCTGGGGCTTTGTGTCCAAAAGGCATCACTTACGCAGTGAAAACCAATGTCTGATACCTCGYACAACACCTATATTCAGCTCCGTGTGCCATGCAAGTCTCACATTCCACTTAATTATTCTAGCAGTATGAGGCATGTCCCATAAACATAGACTGGTSAACAAAATTACATTTCTTCATAGCAGTTATTAGAATTCTCAAGTTCTACAACCACATGAATTCTGAAGTAGCCAATATAGCTTATATACAAAGGATCTACACACAGTTTTTCTATTCGTCAAGATACACCTACCCCTCTATAAATTAAGATATTCCTAGCTGTTGCATTTTGTCATAACTCCCTCAAATGTGAGAAGTGAAATTATTAAAGCTAAAGAAACATATTTCACTGCTGTAGTGGTTTCTTCTTGAAGTCCTCATTTGTCACTGCTTCCAAAGTGTTTCTGTTTAACAAACTCTTGAGGAAACAGAATGACATTATAAATGTTATCTGCCATCTGCTCCTACATTCAAGAATTTCATTGTCTCACAGCTAAAAGACAGAGAAAAGAAATGGTCGGATTCATTGTTCATTTGTAAAGGGCAAGTGGAAACAAAAACTGAAGACAGGGCTTGGATTTTGACAGAGTCAACTTCCTTTAAACAAGAGAAAATAACAGAGAGTGAAAACACTGTAGGGAGTAAAAATAGGGTCCGTATCACAAAGAACATTTGTTCTTTGATAGAATAGGTTTCTTTGAACACTTAGTACACAAAATCAAAAGCTTTTTTTTTCCTTCTTCCTGTAGACATCATTGGTCCTAATCAAAACTACCCAATCCAAAACACCCCATTTCCCAATACATAAAAATACATATTCTTAATGCAAAACATCAGCTTTCCTAGAAGTCATGCAATGAATCCAGCTGAACGTACATTTATTCTTTCACGGTTTGCATCACTCAGACTTTTTGGACAGTTTCATAGCTAATAATGATGGCTTTGCAGATCAGGCATGGAAAGCAGACATTGAAAATCATATTTTCTAATGAAAAACTATAAATTTAATCCTAAATCACTAATTAAACAGTGTTAAACAACAAATCTTGATTTAGAATTTATGCTGAACAGCATATGACACTATTTTTGAGCTTTTGCTGGGAAGGTGATTAAATTAAGTCTATCCAGGCAGAGTCTTGAATTTTTAATATTAAAAATATTCGTCTTGGGCTAATTTTTCATAATTTGAGATTGAATATTCACTTCACAAAATTCACCATAGGAAAACAAAAGCCTTCATATATTAGCTAGTGCAAATAGTTTCATAAGAGACATACAAAACATTCCTTTAGAAGACCAAATGCGCATCTGAATGGCAAATAGATCCATTATCTGAAGTTCGCAAAACTCCTCCTTTTACYTATTTCCCTTTATGTGTCTCAGTACTTTTGTATGGGTTCCTGACAGCTATTTGCATAGTAGTTTTATTACATACAAAACACTTCAAAGAAAACCTACTGTGTGAAGCCACACTTCAACTTGGCAGTTTCCTTGGTTCTGATGCCATAACACCAGAACCCATGTATTTCCATTTCTGTCCTCAAATCTCTAGATTTAAGTGTTTAGGGCCATCTGGCTTTTCTATTGGCTCCTTTGGCACTACAAGTAAGCATGTGCAGAAACCACAGTACAACAAGAACAGGGAGAGCACTGACCCAACAAGAGCCAACTAATTCTCCTTAATCTTGCAAGAGAGAGGCTGATCCTGACCATTTTATATTGGCATTGATCAAAAGCAGCTCAAAAACAAATGGAGATACAACAAGAATCAGACCTATTGAGCTATGAACCACATTCACTTTCCAACAA